TATTTGAAAACCCGAAATTCTTTTAGATTGAAACCATACTTTAAACATTCGAAGGACCAGGAAAGAATTGCTGTGCAGCTGATGACCCTAATAATTACATTATAAATTAAAATTATATTATTGACATTTTCTAATGCAATTATCAATCTTTAAAAGATTTTGTCAAAATCTATAAAATTTATCATGTTATACTAGGTTTTCGTTTATCACTCACCATAGTATAACATGATAAATTTTATAGAAATTATGATAAAGCAGTTATTAAAAAATGAGCATTTGATCGCAAGCCACACTAAGGGTCGCCCCAAAGAGGTTCCAAAAAATATATAGAAGAGGGGGAGTAAAAAAAAAGGTTTGTCAACTATGGCCAAAAAAATTTTTTTTTGCCGAGTTATCAAAATTATCAAAAATTGCGTGACGTAAATTATGGACAACCCTTATAAAATTGCAATATTAAAGAAAATGTTTAAGACAATCAATAGGACGTTAAATATTAGAGAGAATGTTGGAGACAATCAATAGGAGGTTAAATAGCTATATATAAATATAGTAATAGTAAAAATAAAATAATACAAATTAGGGATAAAAGTGATTACAACATCGAAATACGAACAGTATTAATCAGTAATATTAATAATAGTAGTTTTAACATAAACGTAACAGCCAAAGGTAATAGATGTAGCATTAACAAAAAATAAAAGTAATAAAAAAATTTTTCTTTTTAAATAAATTGATTTTCTCTTTTTATCTTCTTATTAATTTTTATCGTAAAAACTGAATGACTAAATGATCTTAAAAATCACTGAATATTCAGGGAAAAAATATAATATTAGTAAGAATCAATTCAAAATACCTACCATGCGTTTTCATAGCAAAAATACCTACCATGCGTTTTCTTAGCAAAAATACCTACCATGCGTTTTCTTAGCAAAAATACCTACTATGCGTTTTCTTAGCAAAAATACCTACCTTGCGTTTTCTTAGCAAAAATACCTACTACTCAGGTGGTTTAAGGCCAGTCCAAATTTTTATAGTAGTTAGACTGACCTTCTACATGTTTTATTTAAATGAAACCGTTTTTCAAAAATTGTTGGCTGAACTGAATAATATCTAGCAAAAGTTGTCCCAAATAAAAAAAATTTTTATTGTCGACGTTATAAGGGTTGACGTAAATTGCTTTTAAACTAAAAAAAGAATATTTAAAAAAGTAGAAAGTAAAATCATTAGGGACAACTTTTCCAGTAATCTAAAGCCTAAAAGATATCCATATTGTATTCTATTATTGTTCCATAATTTTATTTAGATGGTCAGCTAGAAAACCCGACAACCTGTCATTTCTTTAAACGACGTGTAGGGAATGCGGTAATACTTTACGATTTTATTATTTTAAGGCTTTTTGATGGCCGTAAAAACAAAAATGTTTATGCCGTGTGAAATAAAACGTGATGTTGAGATTTTATTTTATTTATATATATATATATATATATATATATATATGTATATATATATATATATATATATATATATATATATATATATATATATATATATATATATATATATATATATGCATAAATTATATATAAATATATTTGTATATATATGCATAAAATATATATATATATAGTTATTTGTATATATAGTTTATTATATATTATTGTATATAATATATATATATATATATATATATATATATATATATATATATATATATATACATATTTGTATATATATATATATATATAATTTAAGCATATATATACAAATATATATATATAATTGTATTTATATGCATAAATTATATATATATATATATATATATATATATATATATATATATATATATATATATATATATATATATATATATATATATATATATATATATATATATATATATATATATATATATATATATATATTTGTATATATATGCATAAATTTTATATATATATATATATATATATATATATATATATATATATATATATATATATAGAGAGAGAGAGAGAGAGAGAGAGAGAGAGAGAGAGAGAGAGATTAGAAAAAAAGGCACTTAAATAACTTGAGCTTCTACTCTTCGTTTCTCCTTCAGCATGAACATCAAGAAGCTTGGTGATCATTCTGAAAGAGAAACGGGGGAGAAGCTCAAGTTAGATAAGTGTTTCTTTACTAATTAATTATTGCTCTGTTCATTATGAACATTGAGCATTTTTTTGGAGAATACACTGACATAGTTGTGTCAACTATGTCAGTAGTTGACACAACTGTGTGTGTGTCAACTATGTCAGTTTAGTCTACAAAATGAGTGCTCAATGTTTGTAAAAAACAGAACAATAATAAATTAGTAAAAAAACACTTATCTAACTTAAGCTTCTTGTCAGTTTCTCTTTTAGAATGATCATCACCAGCTTTTTTAATTATAATATCAGGGTCCTGTATTATATATATATATATATATATATATATATATATATATATATATATATATATATATATATATATATATATATATATATATATATATATATATATATATATATATATATATATATATATATATATATATTATAATAATAATAGCAATAATAATAATAATGATATTTAAATAAAATATATTGAAGTTGGAGAAAATGGTTTGGTCGTAACAAGAACTGAAGTATTGAAAAAAAAAAGAAATGATTTAGATAGAAGTAAATAATTTAAAAGAGGTTTAAATTACCAGAAAAATTGAAGGAATTATAAAATTCAATAAAATTGTATGTAAAAAAGTATTCATATTTTTGACCCATTCAACAAAATTCTCTACAGAAAAAAGAAAGAGATTTAATAAAACATTTTGAAAGAACTTTCCCAGTAAAATAAACATTATTCAATGAGTTCATGGCTTTAAATATAAAGATAGTTGTAAATCAACAACAACAAGTACACCATCATTAGTTGAATTAGCAAGAAGTTCTAAACAGTTTAAAGATACTGGGAATTGTAGAAGTTTGTATAGATCCTTACCAAAATAAATTGCAAAAAAAATTGCAATCAGTTTTAAAAAACAAAGTAATACTTGGTTTTGAAAATAAATAAGAGTTTCACTTACAAAGGTGAATTAGTTCATTATTGTCTATCCACACAGCAGACTCCAACATCAAAGGGCAACATCAGATCAACCTTGGAACATTTGACCATTACTCCGATGTTGCCGTAAAGATATGTTGCATGCTGCTTTGGTATATTTATAGAGTAATAGTTTCAATTAGAAAAAATACTATTAGATTATAATAATAAATCTTAGTTATTGTTATTATTTAAATTATCTCATTTATTTGTTAATATAATGATCCATCCAATCAATTGCTTTTGTATTAAATTGTTGTTTGTTTTGAAATTGTCTTAGTTAAAGTTGGATTTTTTCGCATCTGCAAATATTGTTAATTAAATTTTGCCTATGCGATATATTTTTTCACATTAAAATTTATTTTGGTTTGCTATTTTTTATTTGTTAGTTTTTACTCACTTAAATTCTAAACTTGACAAAGAAAGTAATTTTTTTTAGATTGCTTAAGAGCAATCTCTGTTTGATATGAAAAAAAATATTTACCAAAATAGTTATTAAGATACTAATTGAATTAGTGAAGTCTCAAGAACACCTTAACAATTCCAGATTTTAAATAGACACTTGGGTGTGGTGACACTTTTTTGACCTTTTACTTTATTCCACCTGTAAAAACAATACATTACTGTATTAAGCAGCGGCGCCAATAGAATTTTTTGATGTTTAAGATGGGACACTTTCACACATTGTGTAAACTCCTAACTTAAGTATGTTTATACCTATGTTAAATAGGAGGCCTTGCAAAAAATCAGGATGGCGGAGGTCTGCAAGCAAAAAAGCCCCAAAACGTTTGGACCCCTACCCAAATGTGGGGCACTAATGAGTAAAATTTTTAACGTTATTATCTTAAACTAATTTAAATTTATCGACAGATTTTAAATTTCGTAAAAAAATATTGTGAATTACAAAAGTTATGACCATCCAAAATTTACAACCCCTTCTTTTTTTTTTTTTTTTTTTTTTTTTAAAGGGGGGGGGGGGGTGGAAAATTTGCTTGATCATAACTTCTGTAATTTACAATATTTTTCTACAAAACTTAAAATTTGTTGATAAACTTAAATTAAGTTTATAATAGTAAAGTTTATAAAGTTGAAGATTTTACTACAATAGTGCCCTCACATTTGGGCAGGGGGGCCAAACGTTTAGGGGCTTTTTTGTTCCCAGGCCTCCTCCATCCCTATTTTATGCAAGGCCTCCTCATTCGACATAGGTATAAACATTCTTAAGTTTGGAGTTTGCACAATGCGTGAAAGTGTCCTATCTGAAACATCAAAAAATCCTATTGGTGCCCCTAGTATAAAGGTTATTCATATAGTCATTAATATATAGCACTGATTAGTATAGTCAATTTACATAATGCGGATCACTTAATTTTTTTTTACGATTATCGATAGAGTAATAAATTAGTAAACAATTTTTTTAGTTACTATTTGCTTAATAATAAAAGTTAAACCAAAATTAGGGCAATAGATACATTTCTTATCAAGATGTCGAAAGTTTTTGAGTGCTTTTATATGAGAGCTAAAATTCTAAATGGTTTAGAAGAAATCCATTATACTCGGAAACACAAAAGATATGAGCATTTTATTAGTCAATTCCAGCACATCATAATTAACGAAAAATATTTCCATAAAAAATCGCATGATTTGACAACATTTCTAAAAAAGCATGTATGGGGTGGTGACGAAAGAACTAAATTTATAAAACGCTATTCCCAATATGAATGGCAAAAATTGGATCCTTTCATACAAAAAGAACACACGCTTAATGGTTGCAGCCTATGTAAAAAAGATAAAAATCCAGAAAACGTTTTTCCAAGTTCTGTGATTCATCGGCCAAAAAAGTCAAACTTTAGTGATTCATCGGCCAAAAAAGTCAAACACCACTTAGCAATATAGCCAACATTTTCACAACCGACTCTCAAGCGCGAAATAATATTTTATCTTTCAAGAATTCAAACGTTGCTCCTCTGTCTTTTTCAAAAGTTGATATTCCTTTTACTAAAAACTCACTTCCATACATGAAAGAAACATGTAAATCGGTTTTGGAAAACATCAACACATCTTGGAATTCTTTATATGATACGCCGTTTTTAAAGGTTTTGTCAAAATTACCCTCAACCAATTTAGTAGAAAAGTTATCTTCTGCAGATAAAAAAAAAAAACTTCGAAAATCCCACAGGAAGTTAAAGGCGACAATTGAAAATCATTGGGAAAAATATAGCAAAGATACCAATACATTGTTTGGTGTTCGTCAATCAAGATCATCTTATTTAAAGATTCGCTCAAGCCTTCACTTTGAATCTAAAAAAGATGCTGTTAAACGAACGACATGCTTTACGAGTAAGTTTGATGCAATATAAATTGGATATATCGATGCAATGATATATTTATGATATAAAATTTTATTTTATTTGTTTTGTTATTTTTAATCATTGTGTGATTATTATTGGTGTGATTTAAGTAACATTTTCTCTTTACGTTATTTTATTTTTACTATATTTGAAAATTATCCCAATATTATTTGTCTGATTTCAATTGAGTTCACAATTTAGGCAATGCTATTGGTCAAAAGAGAAAAAGACATTCACCGAACCCTAACAACATTGATTTCAATAAAGTTGAAATGTTAAATGAAGTACAGAAAATGAAAAAAGGCTCAGAAGTATAACAAATAAATTTTTTTTTTTAATTTAAAATAAAAAAATGTAAATAAAAATAATGAAATAAAGAGATTACTAAAAATCTGCATTCTATATAAAAAATAAAACTAACTATATATGAAATTAAAAGCATTAACTATTTTAGATTAATCTCTCGGCTCTTGCAAAGAAATACAAAATTGATGGATTAAACGGTAATATGGTTGTCCGTGAGTTCCTGGAACAAAATAATGTTGATATAACCGCCTTTAGTAGTACTAAACTTAATAAAACTAGAGTAAGAAGAAAACTCAATAAACTATCAGGTATACTTGTAAAATAAATATCAGGTAAACATAATAAGTAAATTTAGGTTTGAAAAATATTTTGTGTGCTATTTTATGTGCTAAAATTGAGCATTAGCTCGGGGCTTAGTGATATAATTAATTTTGTCTTCTTCTAGCCCGGGTCATAGAATTAATTTGGACATAAATTATAAATAAACAAATTAAAAGATAAATAAAAGTCTTTATATTTTTTGTGCTTTAGAATATAATGAATTTTTCAAACTTTTTGAAACTTTTAGCTCTCAAATAAAAACAATCAGGAGCTTTGATAAATCTTTATAAAAGAATATTTTTTATACATTTTCATTATCTATATTAAGGAAAATAGAACCAAAGAAGTTTTTCACAAGTTCATTGTTTAAGAGTTAGAAGTAAAGTTTTGATTGATCAACACAACACTAAGTAGTTAGGATATAACTCAGTACACTTGTATTTTTAATAACTAAGTCCAGTTGAGGATTTTCATTGACGGCAATACTAGAGTTGGTTATTAGTTATCTTAACCAGTCCTCCCTCATGCAACATTTCATCTAGGCTCTGCATACAATAATAAAATCGTTAAACTTTATAAATAACAACGTACCATTATTCGAATTTTATGTTTTATTTGCTTGATAATTTATTCAATATTGATTGTAAAATATAAACGACATTAATAAGGTAAGATAATATGACAGCCGTCTTCTATTTGCTTTGGTCATATCATTTACGTTTATAATGTAAAACCTTATCTTGATAATGACGAATAAATACATAATTTTGATTTTACAAATATTGATTTTTATTAAGAAATACTTTTTTTTATGTAGGCAGTGGAATATCTGTGCCAATCCCACGTTCATTTAAAAAGATTAAAGAAGATTTAAATCAAAATATCACTTCTGGAAAATACATATTAGGAACATTGATTGAACCTAAAATATATTCATCAATTTCTACAGATAAACATGGAAAAATAGAAATTTCCAAATCTTCTATTTCAGGTAGAAAGATTTCATTGCATGAATTACGCAAAAAGATTTTTGAAAATCATATATCGCAAAAAATTATTCGAGAAAATCCGACAGGAATATATAGCAGAAATTTGATAATTTGGTCAGATCATGCTTCAATTTTAAACTCGGGTCACTTATTACTCATTGTCAAACCAATTTATGATGATGAACTGTACTATAATGATAAAGAAATGTTTGACAAAACTGGTAACCATTACAATGTCCAAGAGTTGGTAGAAACTCCTCATTTGTACATATTTGGATGCATAAATGACACAATTGCAGGGAAACTGTCTTATGTAGAATCTAGATTAGAAGATATTAAAGATTTGCATATTCCCATAAAAATTAACGGACAAGAAATTCATGACGTCTTAAGATTTTTTCACGGTATTAATTCTAAAATGTAGTCACTTTTTTACATGACGGAAAGCAAAATGGCGAGGAGAGAGAATGGGGGAATTTTATTCAAGATGTAGAATCTTGAATGAAATTGGAACTTGGCAGTTTTTTTAAAATTAAGATTTTAATTTTACTGCATATTTTATGTATATCCACAAAAATGAAGAATTATGATTTTTTCAGAGATAATTTACTTAATTTAACTTTTCCAGGGAAAAGAATTCGGGTAGAGATAAATATGAAAAACAGTACTTAAAATTCAACCCTGTTATCAGTTGTACTTTAATGTAAATTTAGACATGAAATGTTGAAAAAAGTTTTTTTTATTTAGGTGATCATCCAGAAATCCAATTTGAAGCTGGAAATCTTCATGGTGGTTATTATCCATGCTTATGTGTTAATCAATTTACAGATTTACCAATTGTTTATTCACATGACATCATATCATTAGAAGATAGAAGGAGAAAAGTAATGTAACATCACTTTTAATTAAGGTTCTCACGCACCCAGTTTTGTGTATTATACACATTTCGATATAAAAATAAGTTAATTTTTCTCTTACTATAAAATTTAGGCAAAATAATTACATTTTAAACATATCTGATCTCACGAGACAAAAAACCACAATCATGACCTCAGTCACGAAAATATGCTTATGAGTCCCCTATGTATAATTTATGATTTATGGAACTTTCAATTTAGGGGCCTATACTGGTCAAACGGTATCAGATTCAAGGGCAATTTTAGAAATAAAAAGAGGAAAAGGAGAAGGGGGGGGGGTTGAATTCTTAAAAAGTTCTGATTACCTTCTAAAAATAAAAAAATTTTAAAAAAATGTCCTCAAAACTTAAAATCTACCCAGTGGAATGCGTAAAATATCAACTATATTCCTAAAAAATTGACAGCAAATTAAATATGAAATTCTTAAATGGAGGTTTTTCCCAATTTCAAGGGTATGTGTGTGTGGGGAAGTATGACCTCCCCACACACACCCTTGAAATCGCCCCCAATAAGATTAGGTCCTACTTACATATTACTTCCATTACTTACATATATGAAATAAATAATAAATAAAAAAAAATCACTTCATCACTTTAAACTATTTATACATTTGAAATTACATTACACTATTATTTTGAGTTAAACAATATATGCTTTATTTGGTTAAAATGCGCTTTTCATTTCAAAATATTTCAATATTTTTATATATCACTAACTGTAAATTTTAGGTTGTTATTGGTCCTGCAGGCAGAACAGCAAAAGCAATAGCTCCATTTCAAAACCTTAGCATTTCCAAACTTGAATTGGAAATATCCATTCGAGAATTAAATAAAAATATTGGAGTGAAAAGAACAAAAAAACAATCTGAACAACTTCTGAAGCAAAATCTTTCTGGTGTTTCACGAACTCCAGCTCTTTGCTTTGGCAATGAGTTAAACACACTTGTTTTGTCAAATCTACACAACTATGAGGTCAGTCCTATAGAGCCACTCCACGACTTTAAAGGTCATATAAAAAATATTTGGGATGTTCTACCTGAAATACTGAACTTTTCAGAAAAAAAAGTATTCAACGATTGCCTTAAACTGTGTTTTGGTGAAAAGGACAATGTACGAGGGGCTGATTATAGGTTATCTACAATTGTTGTATACAATTCCTTAAAAGAGATCTGTAGACCAAATGTAAAACTATTTTTGCAAAATATCATGGAATTAGTCAAATCTGCATATTTACCATCACAAAACAGGTCACCAAAGGCAATCCTTCGATTATATAACTTAGCATTTCAACATATCCTTCTTTGCCGCTTAGTAATCGGAAGTAATCCTAATAAAATTACCAAGAACAAACTGTATGGTATATACTATCATTCAATCACAACACATTTACCAGAAGTTGCACGCATTATTTCCCCAAGTTCACTGCATACTGAAAATGAAGAGCAGATGTTCAGCAAAATCAAGCAAATTAGTTTAAATACTTCTTCAAGAAAACTGGAATCTATACGTGATAATAGTATCATTCGAATTCAAGCAGAAAAAATATTTTTAGAAGATATTAATTATAATAAATTGAGGCCATGTACAATTTCTAAAATAACAAAGTTTAGCAAAGCAACAGGTAACAATAAAATTTATACTCACAATTTATATGTATATATTATGTATATATATATATATATATATATATATATATATATATATATATATATATATATATATATATATATATATATATATATATATATATATATATATATATATATATATATATATATAAATTTATAAAAACAAAGAAAATACAACTTAATATATATGTGTGTGTTTGTATGTAAGAGCGACTCTGTGTAACAAAGTAATAGCAATAATTCATTTAATTATTAAGATCCATCAGAACCTACAAAGTTTTCTATTTATGAAAAAGAATTACAATTCCATCTTGAGAGAATAAGTGATTTTATGCTGTGTGGTAGAGGAGTTTGGTGGCATTTAGAAAAAAGCAACATTGTTTTTCATGATGGAGAAAGTGATCCCGATTATATGGATATAGGTCCAGATTTAATGAATTTTAACAAAAACAATATACAGTCAATAAAATTAAATTTAAAAAGTTGTTGGGAAGCTTGTATTGCAAAGAAGGTCAACTTGCCCCTTGATCAAGTAAATTGGTTAATGGATGTAAATAATGCTGAAGAACCTATTTCTATATACCATACTTGATTCAAATAAATTTTTGCAAATTAAATCTAAATATTACAAAAAAGAGTTTTTGATATTCATAAATTTGTACAGTAATTGTATTTATTTTACTTGCATAATTCAACAAAAAATATTTTCGAAGCAACTACAAAGTTTACCTTAGAGGAAATACTTTATTTTATTTATTTTTACTTTTACTCTTAAAATATAAAGAATACTTCAATTTATGTAATCAAATTTATATATATATGTATATATATATATATATATATATATATATATATATATATATATATATATATATATATATATATATATATATAAAATAAAATGCAACCTGATATTACACTGATGATCTTATAGACAAGTTGAAGAAAAAATATTAGATCAATATTTTTAACCAATTTATTAATGGTCAGTTTATTAAGAAATTTGAGCATTCTATTTGTAAAATATATATATATATATATATATATATATATATATATATATATATATATATATATATATATATATATATATATATATATATATATAAATTTGATTAATAAAATTTATTTATAAAGATTTTCATTATCAGATGTATACTATATGTAGAATATTATTACAGGGTAATAATAAATGATAGAAAAATTCAAACTTGATTATGGAAGTTAATATAATATTATGTAGCAGTATTATAAAATAACATATACTATAAATTCAATTCAATAATTATATTAGATTACATATTATTTATAACTATACACTATTTATTATAATATACTATATTATGTATATAGACTTCCATAATCAAACTTGTATCTTTTTATCGTTTATTACTGCTCTGTTCTTTAAGAACAATGTAAACAAAAACACTGCTCAATGATTTTGTAGAACACACTAAAATACTATTTACATCCAATTTAAGCTATCTATAACCAGTTAAAAATATCAAGATTTAATTTATGGGCAATGTATTTGTTATATTGTTCACATTGTATTGTTCACAATGTTCACATTGCAATGTTATAAATTCAAATTAGCGAAAGAAACTTTTGATGTCGGACTTTTAAGGTCAAAATATCATCGATATAATTTAAATTAGCGTTTTGGAATTCTCCCGCGAGATATGAACGATAAAAAGCCACGTCACCCGCACACAAACGAAAGAAACCCGAAATTTACGGAGACTGGCCTTAAACTACCTGAGTATGCGTTTTCTTAGCAAAAATACCTACCATGCGTTTTCTTAGCAAAAATACCAACCATTCGTTTTCTTAGCAAAAATAATAATCTTAAATATACAAATAAATGGGTGAAAACTGGGCAAGATAGAAAATTCGGCAAAATAGCTTTTCATATAATAGCTCAACAAAATAATTATAGATGGGTGAAAACGGAATTGTACTTACTTATAGTATTATAACGCCATTCGGTTTTATTTAGATATTATTAACGCATTAAATTTTATACGCTTAAGCTTACTTTTTGCACCTTTTTAATTGTATAGAAGGATTAAGTTTTTTTATTTTTTAATTTTTATTATATTTTAGGTACCACAAGAAATCTTTTTGGTTTTATTACAGAGCACCGAGAGAAAGCGTTTGAAAGGAAGTTAACGCTTTCTTCCTTACCGGTGTTTAAAAACTTGCCCAGAGGTGGTGTTAAACCATTAATCTCGAGCTCCTGATGCAAGCGCGCTAACCACACTAACCTTTTATACAAATAAAAAAATAAAAATTTAAAATTTTTGTATATAATACCATATATAGAAATTGTATATAGTAATCGTATGTTTCGTATATAGTAATCGTATATTTCGTATATAGTGAACCGTATATTTCGTATATAGTAACCGTATATAGTATTTGTATAGAAGTACCTTAAGGTAATTCAATACAATTAAAAAGGTAAAAGTTTTTAAAATTATAATTTTTTTGTTATAATTGATTTAAGATCAAAATTTATCACAGAATCTTAATTTGTCATCATCAAAAATCCAAAAAAATAATTGAAGTTATATCAGTATATTTGCACAGAGGGCAACAAACTGAAATAGCTTCATTTTGAGGGCACTATAACAAATAATTGCCACAATTTGCTATGTGTTTTCTTATACTTATTTGAGCTATATGATGCTTCAATCGAGTTTCTATTGTTTGCTTTTGCTTTAAATCTCTGTTCAGCTTTTATATGTTTTAAATTGGCTGCTATGGTACTTATTTGTACATAGCAACAATCTATTTTTACATTAACGTTGTTTTAGCGGCTTATATATATATATTAAACTTTTAAATCTAAAATATTTTTTATAAGAATTATCAAACTTAGACATTCATAATTTTCTTAGAATTTCAAAACAAAACATTACTGAAGATATATTAAAATTTATTCAGCCAAAAATTTCTGAACTTGAAGACGATGATTTTAGGCATGCTGTTGAACAATTTATTTACTTCTATAAAAAAAAAAGGAAATCTGCAAACTATATTGTCAAACATTTTGAAAAGAAGTTTGTGAATTTTGCTAATGAATATTTAATTGTCAGAAAAAAAGACAATAAACAACTGCAAGTAGACGTGGTCAAAAACCAGTTACATTTAATGATAATTCTAATAAAACTAAAAAACGGCGTGCATCTGGTTTACTTGAATCTCATTAATCAGATAAATTATTTTTTGTTGCTAGTAAAAAATTAAGAGGTGAATCTTTTTTTATTGCTGCCAAGAACGTTTTAAATATTTCAAATACAGATAAAGCAAGTAAATATTCAGCAGACGAAGCTTTTGCTTTAATAGTTAATGCCATTCTGACAAAGCATCCTTTGATTGATTAGAGGCGGAGCCTTGGAAAAAAGTATAACCCGAATCCGAAGTATATAAATCTACCCCGCTAATAATGATGCCAGGGACGCAAAATTGAAATGTTATCCCGAAAATATAACATTAGAAAACTTAACATCTTCAGTTCCTTTAAAAGATTTAATAGCTCATATTTTGCACAGAATCTGTGCAGTTCAGGAACCTGTGCTGAGGCACTTGATATTGAACGACAAAGCAATAAAAAAAATAAAATTCATGTTTAAAGCTAGTTTTATAGGTGTTACTGGTCGAAGCCTTTATAAATAAGTTTTATCAGAACCTGACATGAACAAAGATATAAAACGTGAAAAAGCATTATTTATTACTTGTCTAGTCTCATTGGATTCGACTGGAATTAAAAACAGCGACGAAAAGGCGTCTCTTTGGAGAAAACAAAAGTCGTCATCCACAACGTATTGAAGACCCATAAGGTTTGCATTCAAACCGGAATCCAAGGAATCTGTAATTGAAGAAGATTAGTACATTAAAAATGAGGTGAGTTTGGGTATAATTTTATTAGAGGTTTGCGGATATTTTATTGAAGTAAATTGTATTATTAAACTTAAAATGATTGATGGAAAGGTTCAAACAATATTATCTGGAAAAAAAAATTCATACCAATGCAGTGGTGTCTCTCCAAAAAATATATATATTCTTGATATCCTTTATATAGATTATACTAACAGACAGTTCAAATATGGCCTTTCCAGTCTCCATGCATGAAACCGATTTTTTAAGACAATTTTGCACACTAAATGTAAAAAAGAAACAAAAAAGTGGCAAGCAAGATCTAAAGAACACAAAGAAAAGGTATCTTTGAACACAAAGAAAAGGTATCTGTAGCTAAACAAAAGATTCAAACTAATTTTATGAACAAAATGGGACTTTTTGTTGATTTTCGAAAAGTAGTGGTTTCCTAAAAGTGGTTCTGGAACAAGCAACGATGGCAATACTTCAAAGCGCGCTTTTGCAGCATATGAACAAACAACTGAAATTCTGGGTATTGGTTAAAACCTTGTATTCAGATTTTACATTATCATTTCACTACTTAAAACTCAATTATTGTTTTGACAAAGATTATTGTTAGACTATAGGTTTCTATTTATCCATGGTATTACATGGTTCAATCTGTGCACAAAGTATTGATACATGTACATAACATAATTAAAAGCCATACATTACACATCGGACTTATTTCAGAAGAAGTTCAAGAGGCTAAAAATAAATACTTAAAATCTTAACGCGAAAATTTTAGCCACAAAACATCCAGAAGAGCAACAAATACTGATTCGATTAATAGACTTACAGTTTCCAGTAGACTTGTTACTTCTTCACTGCATAAGTAAACATCAATTCAAATAAATCATAAAACATTTCCTTCATTGTTTTACAATTACTTAAATAATCTTCAAACGATATTATTGTTTTATAAATTTTTGATGTAATTTAAAATGGACAATGTTTTTAAACTATTATATATACTACTTGTTATCAATGTATTTATTTAAAATTTTAATTGTTTAAATTTTAAAGATGATTTAAATGATTATAATCATACCATTATAATAAATTAAATTTATAAATTTAAATTTATAGTAGTAAAAAGATTTTTAACATATACACCCAAAATAGTATTACTTTTAAGTGAGTTTATAAATTCAACAAAAATAAAATCAAGAAGTTTTAATATACTCTTTTGGTCAGATTCTCTTCAATATTTTAAAATACAATATTAAAATTCATATTTACTAAAAGAAGTGAAGGATTAAAATGTTTAAAACGTTTATTATAAACCGAAAGCTGTGATTTACTGCTGTCTAATCTAATAAATTGAATTATGGTAGCAGTTTCTTTTAGATGCTTACTGTTTAGATCAGTTATGCAACATGCCAATCATTCTTTTTACTTTTATGGTTATTGTTTCGTTTATACCTTGACCAATGTTTATATATATCTTGCTGAGCAGTTCAGACAGTTTGTTCACTATATGGCTGTAAGGGGAATCCTTTGCGACTGATGTACTTTTTGATGTTTTTATTGTCTACTGATGATTAGCTTTCAAATGACAACCGCCAGATTGCTAAAAAGACTCAGGCTAGATTTGATTGGGCCCAATGTTAGGAAGTTTTTAAATTTAGCAAGGCACTTGAACTTGACGTCACACCATATACAAGGGTGCATACTCGAATGGGTTTGAAAACCATAAGTTATATTTTTAACTTCCATATTGCAAGCCAAAAAATGATTAAACTCTATTTGCATTAATTGGTGATCTAATTTGTTCAATGTTGTAGTGAGTTTTAATAAAATCTTCTGATACCGTAGCAAGAATTTGTCTCTTAACTCCAGTGTCTTTGCCAATCTTTGAGTGAGAGATTGTTTTTGCGTCAGTGAGCTGGTAACAACTCTTAACTTAACACTATCAACAATGCTTAAACAAAACTTGAAAAAACTTTTACCACCATTAATTGCGAGCTTAAAAAAATATCAAGCATAAATTTTGAGACTTTTTTTTTAATTTTTCTTTTAGGTGACCCAAGAAGTCCCTACGGTTTTATGACAGAGCACCGTGGAAGAGCATTTAAAAGGAAGTTCACGCCTCCTTCCCAACCGATGTCGTAAAACTTGCCCAGAGGTGGGGTTTGAACCGCGGATCTTACGTTTTTGAGGCAAGTGCGCTAACATTGCGCCACGGCTGCTTACAAGACTTAATAAATAATTGCAGTGAGTAACAACCCAAATTGTACTAAATTTTCCTTTTCCGTCAGTAATTTTTCAGTCATTGCAGGAGACGAAATCACTCAAGTGTTGACCTGCTTATAAGAAATTCCTATAAAGTTTGGCTCTCCAATTTTGCTGTTTGATGTTTGGTTTAAAGATCTGACCAGTTTCTTTAATCCGTTGTTGGACAGTCTTATATTTAATTGCAAGTTTACAAGAGTTAGAAAGATCAGTTTTGGAGCGCTTGCTACTGGCTGGGCATTATTTTGACCTGAAACCAAAACATACATGGTTTATCTTTAATAAAAGTTTGTTCAGAAAATTTGTTTTAAACTTTTAAATTATTCGTTTTTAAAGTGATTAGAAACTTGTTAAAAATGTATTTCCCAAAACCTATCTAGTCTCTTTTTTAAAAGACTTTCTCTTTTAAAAGACTTTCTATGTCAAAATTTTACTTAATTTAAATTAAATTATTTTCCGCGGACAAAATTTAAAGACTTAAAAATTTACATAACAGGGTACTTTGATGAGTACACTATTACCCTATATAAATAGCATTTTTGGGTCTGCTAGTATAATAACTATAATAATACTAGTAATAATAACAATAATAATAACAATAATAAAATTTCTTTTTATTATTATTATTGTTGTTATTATTATTCTTTTTATTATTATTATTTTTGGTATTAATATTAATAATATAATAGTAAAAATAAAATTAACATGAACAGATTGGTATAACAACTTTTCAGAATTTTCTTCAACTTAAAATTCAGTTACATAAAGTCTACACACTCGCAGAAAGTGTGGAGTTTTCCTCCACATCGGTGTGTAGCTATGACTCCTAGACACAAGTGTGGAGTTACTTTGCACAGTTTTGTGCAAATAACTCCACACTTTTGTGCAGAAGTCGAGTTAGAAAAAGTTAATGGAAGTAGTACTTGGGTTCGCAATTTTGTTTAACTGACGCTATTTTAAAATAGTCTTTGTAACTACTTGTGTCTGTTTTTATGCTAAGCTAACAGTATCTTTGGATATCAGAGCATTTATAGCAAAATATAGTGCGAATCTCAAACGAACAAACGAAAAAACAACAACAAACAAAAAACTTAGTCAGAATGTTGGATTGTGGGCGTTGCTAAACAGATGACGTAGCAAATTTAAGCCCGAACATTTCGGGACAATATTAATAAACTAAAAAGCGTATCCGAAAAAACAAACAAGTGGCTCGATTATGTTAAAAAGATGTCGGGTAAAGACAAAATTAATATCTTTCCATCTCGTATGTAAGTATATTTTAATTTTGTTTCGCTATATTTCAAAAACATTTGCTTATTTTAACTGTGTGTTAGCTATAAAAAAAGTTTTTTGTAAAAAAGTACTCAATTTTATAGTTTTGTTCGAGGCAACAACTCGGTGTTTAATTCATTAAATACATTTCAGTTAGAAATTAGCTAATTACCTTACAGTTAAGCAAATCTCCACAATTTCTCTTAGTATTAATAAAATAAAAAATTTATCCCATTGAAGAATTATTGTAAATATTTTACCTAATAAAGATATGTGTATAAAAGTTTCAATTTGTTTGAACATATCTTTATATATCATTAGAAAGAGGATTTATAACGTATTTTAAAGGTTTCAAAATCAAACAATTCCTTTAAAGTTATGAAGGACTAAATACTGATTTATCCACATATGGATTTATTGAAGAAAATGGGGTCAAAACAACTAGTTTTGTCAACTAAAGTTGTCATAACGTTGTTAATTCTTATCAAATACTTGCAAAGAAATGCAAATACTTTGGTATCAGTAGAGTGTAAGAGTAAGAGTGAAAGAGTAAAAGTGTAAGAGTAGGTTACAAGTCACAGTTAGTCAATAAGATTGATAGGTTTTATGTTGTGTCACTCAGTAAAACCCTTTTTATTCAAGAGTATTTGAATAAAAAAGTTTTAAATTTTTTTCAGATTTTAGCTTAAAATTGAACAAAAAAATGATGACTTACAAATGGGGTAAAAAGTAAAACTAATTGGGCATAAGCCTATTTAAGCATTTTAGATGCCCATTACTAGAAAAAAAAAATTAAATTAAAAATAATTTAAACTAACATAAAAAAAAAGAAACAGTATTTTAAAATATTAAAAATATTAATGTATATATTGTACATAATTCAACAAAAATCAAATAATTATTTATCCTATTCTTAAGCAGAATATAGAAATGCTAAACTTTTTCCATTAAAAGTCGCTTGATGTTGAAAATCTTTAGCTACTTTTTATTAAAGTTTAGCAACTATGTAGACACTCTGTACCAACATTTAAAACTCAGCTAACAAATTTTGTAAACCAAAAAATTAAAAAAACAGACAAATAACAACTATAAGAAAAAATACCATCCTGATCTTTAAAATTCAAAAAAATACTTAGATCTAGATTACAAAATATGTAAGCAGCAACAAATTTTGTAAATCAAAAAATTTAAAAAACCACTGCGGTCCTGGTGCAGTGGTTAGAGCGCTTGCTTTATAGCAGGAGATCCAGGTTCGAAATGAACTCTGAATATATTTTGGTGTCGCCGTAAGGTAGGAAGCATGAACTTCCTGGTTAAATGCACTTCCGCGATGCTCTGTGACAAGACTGTTAGGGGCACCTAAATAACAAAATTAAAAAAAAGAAAAAGAAAAAAAAACAAGCATAGCAACAAGGATTTATTTTATCTACTCTTAAAAAAGAAAAAAAAACATCTTTAATGGCTTATTCAATCAAAATGTAATTCTTTTCACTAGAGCTGTAGTAGAGAAATACTAAAAGTTTGCTAAACAGTGTCAAAGTTTCTCTCTAAATTCAAACCTACTCGAAATATATTTAAAAATGTATAAGCGTATATACTTTTATATACTTTTCTGCATGTTTAAATCTATTCCATTTAGTATATACTCTCTACATGTTTACATATAAGAGTATATACTTTTACATATAAACATGTAGAAGAGTATATACTCTTCTACATGTAAATCTATTCCATGAAGGTTTGAATTTAGAAAGAAATGAATTTAGTTAAATCGCAATAAGAAAATAATGTGCATGATAGAAAGAGGCAAATGTAGCCAATTAAATATATATATATATATATATATATATATATATATATATATATATATATATATATATATATATATATATATATATAATAAAGCCAATATAGCTTTGCAGTGTGTTATATTTTATATAATTTCAGTAAAATCAATGTGTTTTTTATTTATAATTTTTATTTAAGGTCACCAGTAAAAATATTTTAACATTTAAAGTAAAGAACTTATTTTACTACATCAATATTATTGAATGCACAATGCAATCTTTAATAAAACCTTTCTGTTATTATGGTTAACAAGTCAGCATCAGGGGATAAAGTTATTGGTTGTCAGAGAGCTGTTAGAATTAATATTGCTCGTATAAGTAATCTAAATTCTTTATGAAATTGTACATATTAATTTCTAGCATTACACTGTGTATAATGTGCATATTTTTTTTTATACAGTTTCAACTTTATACAATTTAAAAATATCACTAGATATTAAAAATAACTTTAAAAAAATTTGAATCTTTTGTAAAAAAAGAAAACTTTCTTGAGTTTTGTTTATACCAAAAGCTTTGAAAAGTTATAAATTAGTATGAACTAAAATCAACATTTCATTTCATATCTCACTCCAATCAACATTTACTATTAATTTTATATTGTTTTATTTTTATCAAATGTTTTAGGGCAATGACTGTCATAAAAAATCAATTAAAAGGTGCTCAGAAGGGACATAGTTTACTGAAAAAAAAATCTGATGCTTTAACTCTTCGCTTTCGAAAAATTTTAAAAAGCATAATTGAGGTTTGTTTATTAATTTTAATTACTCTTTTTTTAAAAAAAAGGTTTATAAAGTGTTTCACTTTTGTATTTTATTTATTCAACTTATCTTTTTAACTTATCTTTTAATTTAAAGGTCATTATTTTTTTTTATAAGTTATCAGTATTTTTTGTCATGTATTTTTATTTATGGATTCACTCAGTGGAGTGTAGATCTAATAGCATTTTATTTGGTCTGGTATTTTTGAATTAATTCCAAGTATTCCCTGAAAAAAATAGTGTCCATTTAATTTTATATACCGACTATTTAAATGCAAGTGATTCAATAAAGTCATATTTAATATATATATATATATATATATATATATATATATATATATATATATATATATATATATATATATATAAAGGCTTCGGCAGGAATGACGGGCTATAGCCCGTGTCCGTCTCCGCACCCATCTAAGTCAGTTTAGACGGGCGAAATAAAGCCCGTCTGAAACATAAGTTTTGTGTAAAAAAAAAGATGAATATTTTGATGTTTTTTTATTAGGATACTCTTTTAAAACTTCTCTCATGACATAATTTTAATATGGATAGCAAACTCCAACTTATAATTGTTTATATTTAAATATAAAAATTAAACAATTTAATCATTATTGTATAACATGATGTAGAAAATAATATATATATATATATATAATAATAAATAATATAACTAAATCTTACAGTTTTTTAAACGACGATAACTGTTTGATATAATACCAAACAGTTACCATATTATGTTCAAAATTTAATAACTATTATATTAAATAGGGAAATATACACATGTGATGCACAAGAAGTATCATGTTGTTTTGGTTTTTCAATGTTTATAATAATAACGATAATAAACTAATTATCCATGTATTTCGCTTTTTTCCGATAAACTAGTTTGTCTTACTTTAAAGACATTTATAAGACAGTGATATTTCCGCGTTAACTTCCGCGTTAACTTCACGTTTTTTCTTAGAGAGACGGCAGTTTATTTAATATGCAATTGTATAACTCGTTATTGAAAATGAAATATCTCATTAAAAATCAACAAACGTCTAATCAATTTTTGTAGATAATATAAATAGTGTTGCTTTATAGTTATGAAGTTATTCAAGTTATCCAGTCATTCAAGTTTTTCAGTAAAGATAGTAATGGCATCATCTGGTAGAAGAGTTACATTAGCAACATTTTTGAGTTGGGGTAAAGATGGAGTCTGTGGAAAAGAAACTGAGGTGGAGAATGGAACAATTTTTGTTGTGAAGATATGGTGTA